CCTTTGTACATCAATCCTTTTGTCTGTTGTCTTTGTCATTACACTATTACCTTTGTACACCAATCCTTTTGTCATTGTCTTTGTCATTACACTATTACCTTTGTACATCAATCCTTTGTCATTGTCTTTGTCATTACACTATTACCTTTGTACATCAATCCTTTGTCATTGTCTCTTTGTCATTACACTATTACCTTTGTACATCAATCCTTTGTCATTGTCTTTGTCATTACACTATTACCTTTGTACATCAATCCTGTGTCATTGTCTTTGTCATTACACTATTACCTTTTGTCAATCCTTTTGTCATTGTCTTTGTCATTACACTATTACCTTTGTACACCAATCCTTTTGTCATTGTCTTTGTCATTACACTATTACCTTTGTACATCAATCCTTTGTCACTGACTTTTTGTCATTACACTATTGACTTTGTACACCAATCCTTTGTCATTGTCTTTGTCATTACACTAGTACCTTTGTACATCAATCCTGTGTTATTGTCTTTGTCGTTACACTATTACCTTTGTACATCAATCCTGTGTCATTGTCTTTGTCATTACACTATTACCTTTGTACATCAATCCTTTGTCATTGTCTTTGTCATTACACTATTACCTTTGTACATCAATCCTTTTGTCATTGTCTTTGTCATTACACTATTACCTTTGTACATCAATCCTGTCATTGTCTCTTTGTCATTGTCTTTGTCATTACACTATTTGTCTTTGTACATCAATCCTGTGTGTCATTGTCTTTGTCATTACACTATTACCTTTGTACATCAATCCTGTGTCATTGTCTTTGTCATTACACTATTACCTTTGTACATCAATCCTGTGTCATTGTCTTTGTCATTACACTATTACCTTTGTACATCAATCCTGTGTCATTGTCTTTGTCATTACACTATTACCTTTGTACATCAATCCTTTGTCATTGTCTTTGTCATTACACTATTACCTTTGTACATCAATCCTGTGTCATTGTCTTTGTCATTACACTATTACCTTTGTACATCAATCCTTGTGTCATTGTCTTTGTCATTACACTATTACCTTTGTACATCAATCCTGTGTCATTGTCTTTGTCATTACACTATTACCTTTGTACATCAATCCTTTTGTCATTGTCTTTGTCATTACACTATTACCTTTGTACACCAATCCTTTTGTCATTGTCTTTGTCATTACACTATTACCTTTGTACACCAATCCTTTTGTCATTGTCTTTGTCATTACACTATTACCTTTGTACATCAATCCTATGCTACTGACTTTGTCATTACACTATTACCTTTGTACACCAATCCTTTTGTCATTGTCTTTGTCATTACACTATTACCTTTGTACACCAATCCTTTTGTCATTGTCTTTGTCATTACACTATTACCTTTGTACATCAATCCTGTCACTGACTTTGTCATTACACTATTGACTTTGTACACCAATCCTTTGTCATTGTCTTTGTCATTACACTAGTACCTTTGTACATCAATCCTGTGTTATTGTCTTTGTCGTTACACTATTACCTTTGTACATCAATCCTGTGTCATTGTCTTTGGCATTACACTATTACCTTTGTACATCAATCCTTTTGTCATTGTCTTTGTCATTACACTATTACCTTTGTACATCAATCCTATGTCATTGTCTTTGTCATTACACTATTACCTTTGTACACCAATCCTTTTGTCATTGTCTTTGTCATTACACTATTACCTTTGTACATCAATCCTATGCTACTGACTTTGTCATTACACTATTACCTTTGTACATCAATCCTGTGTTATTGTCTTTGTCATTACACTATTACCTTTGTACATCAATCCTGTGTCATTGTCTTTGTCATTACACTATTACCTTTGTACATCAATCCTTTGTCATTGTCTTTGTCATTACACTATTACCTTTGTACATCAATCCTATGTCATTGTCTTTGTCATTACACTATTACCTTTGTACACCAATCCTGTGTCATTGTCTTTGTCATTACACTATTACCTTTGGTCATCAATCCTATGTCACTGATTTTGCCATTACACTATTACCTGTGTCATTGTCTTTGTCATTACACTATTACCTTTGTACATCAATCCTTTGTCATTGTCTTTGTCATTACACTATTACCTTTGTACATCAATCCTTTTGTCATTGTCTTTGTCATTACACTATTACCTTTGTACATAAATCGTATGTCATTGTCTTTGTCATTTCACTATTACCTTTGTACACCAATCCTTTTGTCATTGTGAGGTGAGGTGAAATTGGGTTTAACGTCGTGCTTGAGAATATTTCGCTCATATGACGACGTGCATGCGTGTGTATGTGTATGTGCGGCTGCTTGTACTAGCCCAGACTTAAGCTGGTTTTATAGTGCTAGCCCACTGAAATACCATGCCGCAGTGAAGCATGAATACCCCACTCAGACACATTATACTGACTCCGAGCCGACCAGTCCTTGTTGTACCCATTAGTGCGGAGCGCCAGGCAGGGACCAACAAGTACCATATTTTAACGTCTTTTGGTATGACGCGGTCGGGGATCTACCCGCGACCTTCCGCTCTCCGGGCGGACGCTCTTACCACTACACCACGGAGGCGTTCTTTTGTCATTGTCTTTGTCATTACACTATTACCTTTGTACACCAATCCTTTTGTCATTGTCTTTGTCATTACACTATTACCTTTGTACATAAATCCTATGTCATTGTCTTTGTCATTACACAATTACCTTTGTACACCAATCCTTTTGTCATTGTCTTTGTCATTACACTATTACGTTTGTAAATAAATCCTTTTGTCATTGTCTTTGTCATTACACTATTGACTCTGTACATCAATCCTATGTCACTGGCTTTGTCATTACACTATTACCTTTTGTTCATCAATCCTATGTCACTGGCTTTGTTATTATACTGTTATCTGTGTACATAAATCCCACTTTGTGTTGGGTAAACATAAATACAAACTCTAGGCACTGACTTATCCATCTGATGAAGGAGTAAGAAGTAGCTCTGAAACGTCGTGATCAAATATAAAGAAGTTGCTTTCCATAGAAGTGTCATGTATTCGTGTGACATTCCTGTTCCACTGATGCCAACCATCCCAAATACTTACAGAAAAGTCATTTGTTCACGTGATATGACACAGTTTAAGATTCTATGAAAACTGTTAACACTCTATAAATGGAAAGCGTTGGTGATATATAATTTACTTATCGGTTACTATTCATCAAGTATAAGATATTAATGAAGTTACCACTGAGAATATCAAAACTAAGAACATAGAAACCAGGTCATATGGAAACTATAGAGCTACGTTATTTTACAATATATTTTGCAGAAATATGTTCAACTTTTCTTTGAACAAGATAATGACAGTGTGTAAGCTTATTGACAAAGGAGTATCTCTTTCGTGGGACACGGGTGCTGTCAGATTCAGTAAGATATCTGGTGTGAACCGGGGTTTGAACCAACGATAGTAGGTGGGTTGCTTGCTACAAAAGGAATGTCAAAATCAAGAGTTGCTGTGTCACATCCAACAAAAGCAATAAAATAGCACTTGTAATTAGACACTCCGTTGTTGTACTCTATCTGTTTTACAATATGGTACCAGTAGCACCATGATCGGGGAGAAGCTGGGATTCGAACACAAGACAAAAACCCACAATGGCCCCTACGAACCCACATGGATACGTTTACTGGATACACACACTGGTTGGAGCGGAGACACTCATGTGCATAGGGTTATTGTGACCATGTGGTTGGGGTTATTGTGACCATGTGGATTGGGGTTATTGTGACCATGTGGTTAGGGTTATTGTGACCATGTGGTTGGGGTTATTGTGACCATTTGGATTGGGTTATTATGACCATGTGGATTGGGTTATTGTTTCCACGTGGGCAAGGGTCATTGTGGCCAAGTGGTTAAGGCTATTGCTTCCACGTAACCTTGGGCCATTGTGACCATGTGGTTAAGGCTATTGCTTCCACGTGACCTTCGGCCATTGTGACCATGTGGTTAGGGTTATTGTGACCATATGGTTGGGGTTATTGTTTACACGTGGCCAAGGGTCATTGTGGCCAAGTGGTTAAGGCTATTGCTTCCACGTGGCCTAGGGTTATTGTGACCATATGGTTGGGGTTATTGTTTACACGTGGCCAAGGGTCATTGGGCCATGTGGTGAAGACTATTGCTTCCACGTGACCTAGGGTTATTGTGTCCATATGATTGGGCTTATTGTTTCCACGTGGCCAAGGGTTATTGTGACTTGGTGGTTAAGGATACTGTGACCATGTGGTTAGGGTTACTGTGGCCACGTTGCTTACAGTTATTGTGTTTGGGTGACGTAGACATACGTGGATGGGGCTGGCCGAGACTCACCCAACTTGTGGGTAGATTCAGTTGGCAGAGTAGTGAGATACCGTGGTTACCTGGAGGTTAACGTGACTCACGCACCTGAGGGATATTGAGGCTATACGGATGGAGGTTAGGGAGACTCGCATATCTGGGGGTTATTGCGACAGTATGCCTGGAGGTTAAGGAGAATCACGAGGTTAGGGGTTATTGAGAGAGTGTAGCTAGGAGTGAATGAGACTCAAGTATTTCTTTGATTTAGACAGTGTGCCTGGAGGTTAAGGAGAATCATGTCGTTGGAGGTTATTGTGACTGGGGTTATTGGTAAGGAGTTTGGGTTATTCAGACCACAAGGCAAAGATTAATCTCAGTAACAGGAGAAAATGGGGTGAGTTGTATTATACAATCATTGACTTTACGTGAGTTTGTTCAATGATTTAACGCCTTGGACTAGTGATATTTGCCGAGGTGAATATCACTTGTACAAGGTCGATAAGCCATTGGATCAACCGAGATTGAAGTCAATTGTTCTATTAACCTCACTTGACGATAACTTATCTTTGTGTCAAGTCGTCGAGGTGTCAGTTCAACCACTCAGATGAAACTTTTGGTAACTATGTAATAAAAATGGTTGTTAACTCACATAGCCTGCATCATCCGAGGACGTTGGGGGTGTAACGATAAGATTCCTCATGGTATGGTCAAACGCTGTCATCTGTAATCCAAAGTTGAGTGAGGGTCTGTCGACCCAATCCTGCACAGTCTTCCTAATGTCCAACTGATGCCAGTTCCGAGACCTCTTAGGGAAAAGTTTTTTGTATCGTAGATATATTTTCCGGGGCGGACTGTACTCCTGGGGTTTAAATGTACGGATATGCAGCTCAACCGCCGTTTTCTGCTGCTTTGACGGTCTCACGTAGTACCACAGCACTGCCTTTTTGATATAGGAGTCTCTTGTCTCATCGGGAAGATTGAAGTATGCCACATAACTCTCGTTCAAATTACGATCCGGAGGAGCTGAAAGAATGCAAATACATGCTAAATGACACATAGAAGTTGATGGACAAGACATAACAATGGGTTAGGACCATATCCTTCCTACGCCGTTTTCAGGGAAACACTTGAGTTGGCTTCGCATGTGTTTGTGACGGGGGATAAGGATGAGTACGCTCATCCTTTAGTGAGTGAATGAGTGAGTATGGTTTTACGCCGCTTTTAGCAACATTCCAGCAATATCACGGCGGGGGACCAGAAATAGGCTTCTCTCATTGTATACATGTAGGGAATCGAACCAAGGTCTTCACCGTGACGAGCCGACACTTTAACCACTAGGCTACCCCACCGCCCCATCCTTTAGCGAACACCTTGAATGACATTTAATACTTATTTTATAAATCTATGAATTGTGTAAAACATATACACGTGTCTCATAAGCCATTTACTTTCTGGTTCTACACTCTTACTTTGTTTTAATATTGTATGTACTTGTAGAGTTGTTAGGTGTGACACAAAAATAAACATTTCTTCTTCTTCTTCTTCATAAATCCATGTGTAATTATTAAAAGGGATATTGCTTGCATTTAAGCATGAGTTACACGTGTGTTGTACATTTTACATGGTCTATACTTTATGGAAAGTGTCATACAGAATTATATTCTTCTCCAGAACAAATTTCACGATTGTACCGGTTCGCCCCAATTATCTTTCTAGATTTTACAGAATCATACCCGTGAGTTCCCCAAATCAGCCTCACCTTGGGCTCTTCACCACTAAGCTGAGTCTTAGCTGATACTCCTAACTATAACTAAAATACTCTTCAAAAGGGAGTTAATCCACACTCACTCATTCACGGATACAGCTGGGTAACCCATGTGCTCCTTGGCTTAAGGAGGGATTATACTTAACTGTCGAGGACCTTGTCGACATTTCTTTTTAGACTAAGACGTTGTTACAAGTGTACTGAGTGAATCGGACGCATTGTTTCTGTGTATGTAGGATAATCGTTAACGTTGCTGATCGATATGCGGTATTAGATTTGAGTCATCAAAGAGGACTTTGAAGAACATGAATGGCATTTGCTAAGCCACAATTTGATGACGATTAGTGCTCAGTAGTTGTTTACAAACCACACAAATTACATCCATTGTTCGCGACATTGTCAACACTCACGACATCGTGAACCGTCACAGATGATGCAGCTGTAGAGTATTGGACCTGGTTTCAACCTAATGCTACCGTTTTTTAAATGTCCATGCAATATAAATGAAGCAGAATGTCATAGGAAGACTGAAGCTAAAAACCTGACAAATTCCGACAATGGTCATGTTAGAAAAGCAGCAAGAGTCCGTTCTTTTTGTCTCAGTTTGTTCTCAGCAACATCTGATTACCAACATGTCCCGTTATTTTCCATACACCATCATAAAGTATTTTATCTCCTACTGAATCTTTACTATTTCTTTTAGTACTGATATCGTTTATCACCATATGCGTTTTTTTATATTACTTTTGACTATGCTCATGTTGTTGATCACTGGATTGTCTGGTCCAGGCTAGATTATTTACAGACCGCCGCCATATAGCTGGAATATTGCTGAGCGCGGCGTAAAACTAAACTCACTCACTCACTTTTGACTTTAGTATTTCATCACACGTCATTTTACTTATAATATTGCATTTAGCACCGTAACATTTCATCACAATATGTGTTATTAATATATTACTTTTCACTATTGTATTTCATCACAAGTTATTTTACTTCTTGGTTTATCACTGTAACATTTCATCACCATATGCGCTATTAATATATTACTTTTCACTATTGTATTTTCATCACAAGTTATTTTACTTATTGATTTATCACTGTAACATTGTATCACCATATGCGTTATTAATATATTACTTTTCACTATTGTATTTCATCACAAGTTATTTTACTATTGATTTATCACTGTAACATTTTATCACCATATGCGTTATTAATAAATTACTTTTCACTATTGCATTTCATCACAAGATATTTTACTATTGATTTATCACTGTAACATTTTATCACCATATGCGTTATTAATATATTACTTTTCACTATTGTATTTCATCACAAGTTATTTTACTATGGATTTATCACTGTAACATTTTATCACCATATGCGTTATTAATATATTACTTTTCACTATTGTATTTCATCACAAGGTGTTTTACTTATTGATTTATCACTGTAACATTTTATCACCAGAAAATCATCATCACAAATCATACAAACAACTAGTAGATCCATTGTATTTACTTGTAATGTAATGTAACGTAACGTAACGTAACGTAACGTAACGTAACGTAACGTAACGTAACGTAACGTAACGTAATGTAATATAATGTAATGTAATTTAATGTAATTCTATCTAGAACGTATATTCTAGAATCCTTTTACCATACTATCTGCCATCTGTACAACTAAGATTTGCTACTGGCTTTCTTTCATCAGCTGATATGAAAATTTGTTAGGAAACGCCTCAATAGATAATTCAAAAACACCGACCCCATGGCCCTAATTTAGGAGGGGTCAAAGTTGAAGCCTAAGACACCTTATCATGGCAAGATACCCCTTAAAGCTGTCGGTTGTCATCATATTTGGCGCGTGCTACCTTTGGACGTAACCCAGCTGGTCTGGTTCCAAATGATCGTCGTGTTGCCTGTTTCTTACATTGTGGTCATACTTGGGAGGGACAGGTGTTAATACTGGATATCTCATATAATTATGGTGTTTAACATTTGCAATTACCTCACTGACTGAGGTTGAGAAAGCGGTCGTATGGAATCTTGTAGATGGTTAATTAATTCCCAGGAGTAAGGCCGGTTGTCGGTTTCATACATGGGTTAATACATTACCTCTATGTTAGCATCGTATATAATATACCATTGTTTTGTAGCTCAATGCACGCCATTATTTTAAGAAATGAAAAAGGTAGTTTCAAATGATTGTGAAAATTATCGTATTTGTTAATATAAATTAGTATATAACATTTTGTCATTTCAAGAATGGGCATCTGACTTTTAGAAGTTTTTAAGGGAGTGTTTTTCTTACATTTGCACACAAGCAAGTCTTTGAATCAACGAATTATAAGTAAAGAAATATATTACAAAATTATCTAAATATGTTCATTTAGAAAAAAATGTCATCTAATGTTACAATTCCAAAACGTGCATGCATAAAGAAGGAAAATAGTAGCTGTGAGACATTTGAAACTTACAGTATTTCAATGTTTTCTTTATCTTTGTAATGGGTCCCGTCAGTTACAATTACAAATGTATTATCATGTGTGGTTTCTCGTGTGTGTTGTAGTGCTGTGTTTTGGCCGTGTTTTTAGAATGGCAACTTTGGACATCATGAGTGAAGTGAACAAGCTGTGTCAGTAGATCAGTAGATTAGTAGTAGTATATTAATAACGCATATGGTGATGAAATGTCACAGTGCTAAATACAATAAGTAAAATGACGTATGTTGAAATATTATAGTCAAAAGTGATTGAGTGAGTGAGTGAGTTTAGTTTTACGCCGCACTCAGCAATATTTCAGCTATATGGCGGCGGTCTGTAAATAACTAAGTCTGGACCAGACAATCCAGTGATCAACATCATGAGCATCGATCTACGCATTTGGGATTCAATGACTTGTCAACCAACTCAGCGAACCTGGCGAACCTTGGTCGCCTCTTACGACAAGCATGAGTTGCTGAAGACAAATTCTTACCCGGTGGATGGACCAGGGAGGCAAATACCGTTTATATGTCAAACTGAAAGGTCAAGAAGTTTCTTATGAACCGTATGTGTTTGCGATTATGTACATCGTAAACGGCGCATATTTGTGCACCACGTAGCGTCGGTAAGGAATAAATGTTATGGAATATGTATGACATGTATACTATAAGCAACTGAATTGTGACCGATGGCCTTCGTGTGCAATAGGATACATTTGCTAGTTTGTGGAAATAATACACCCAAGTTTTATGGTGGATACAACTGAAATAGACAAGAACAGGTTAGTAGCTGGTTATGTATTAGAAACGGATACATATTTATGCATTGGGGTTTACCTTTCAAGTATTATTTTCAACCAAAAATAATTTGATAAGGTTTTTAATGTTTTGGTGAAATATATACTTTAAGTGTATACATTTTTTTTGATTGGCTGTTTAGTTATTTCAGGCATGTGTACTTGTATTAGTAGAAGCTTACATTAAATATCTGAAATGAATATATTTCTCATTTTCACGTTGAACTGTGAGTGTCTGAATGTCACAAGAAACAAAAGTTTTGTGGACTTTATATTCCAATAAAACTGAACAACCAGTTTTGATTATCGAAACATATTACATTGGTCGTACAAAGCAGAGTGGCAATGGAGGTTTTATGAATGGATAACTCGAATTCGGTGATGACACCAGGCGTTCGCGAAAAGACATGAAAAGTATAACCGTCAATGCAAACAAATGAAACAATAGGGGGAAACGTATAGGAACCCCCATGCTGATAAGATTTACTGTGCTTCTGTACATGCACTTTTATTTAATGTCGTATTTGGTCAGCTTCTATACATTTCGTAATAACGTGCGTATGTTTATTTCTGTAGAGGCAAGTTTCATAATCTGGAAAAAAGATGTCAAGACTCACTCGAACAAAAAAGTTGAAAACGGGACATTAGTTACATCAGTTGATATTCAAGTGTCTCTGTTCTAAGATCCTGAGGCAATTTATTAATTGATAATTTCGAAGCAGTTTGATCAGCTATTTGTTCAATTTCAATTCCTATGGGTAGCTGTGGTCGTTGACCTAAGATATGAATTACATTTGGGTGCAATGTTCCCTTATTGCTACAGTTCTTCTAGTTTTTATACATAACGTACCGTGGAAACGTTACACAGCCCATACCAGTATGACAGTGACACATTCCATTATCACACACACGCACGCATGGACCCCTATCACACGCACGTACATATCTTACCCAACGCTAATGTATATTAA